TGGGGAACAGGTATACCTTCGACTTGATGATTTCCATTCCTTTGGGTATATTCCCAGCAGTGGGATAGCTGGGTCATATGGTAGATCTATCTGCAACTGTTTGAGGAACCTCCATACCATTTTCCATAGAGGCTGCACCATTTTGCAGTCCCACCAACAATGTATGAGAGTTCCTTTTTCTATATTTGAGTATTTTGGCTGTAGTAAATTCTGATCACTTGGTTCTACCACTTAATGCTGTGTGAGTTATTTCCTCAACCTCTCTGAGCCTCCACGTCCCTTATGTAAACAGGAGGGATAATACATAGCCTGCAGAGCTGTTGTGATGTGATGCCTTTAGACACTTCCAGGCTGTTCTGAATGCTGTCTGTGGTGTCTCTAATATCACTGCCCATGTGATGATCATTTGAGGTATTTATGTCCAATGTCTCCTTTGGAAGTAATGACATTTGTTAGCAGTATTATTGTTTTTCCATGTGTATCCTTAGAGCTCTGAGTACAATGCAGTATTAAAGTATGTGTTCCCGTTTGCTGAGGGAGGAGGGGGCACGGCATGCCCTCTCCACTTACAATGATGCATCTCTGTAAGCGTCACCTCTCCACAAGGTAAACTCCTTGAAACCAGCACCTAGGGTCCACCAACCCAGGAACTCTGTGCTCTCCCTGGGCAAGGTTATTTTGGGCTCCTTTTGTGATTGAGACAGACAGAAATTGTACATATCAAGAAACAGTCTGGTCAAAAGGTGCCACCCATTCCCCTCTCATTCCCTACCAAATGCAGGGCTCAGTGAAGTCCAGATATTTCCCACACTGTTCTGCTTCGGCCCTGCTCCTAGGGGTGAAATTCTTCAACTACCCAAAGAGTCCTGGCCACACAGTTGGTGCATGTGCCTCAGAGAGTTGCCAGTGATTTACAGCTGAGCCTGTGGGTGAAGGTAGGGGTTCTTCTGAAGCTTTCTATCGCTTTCCTCAGGACTGTAGTGGTGGGCCCGTCATGACATCAGTCCAACTCTCTTATACCTCATTTAAAGCATCAAGAAGACTTTTCTCTTTTTCTTCATCTTTTCTTTTTTAAAATAGAAACAAAAAACTAAGGAGTAAGCTTCCTGAAAAAGAGGGACCTTTAATAGAAGATTTGCAGATGTCACTTATTGCAAATAATGCATCCTATTCTTTTAAAGGGACTCAGCACTTAGCAGACCTGTACTAAGAACAAGTGGCAATTTTCATGGTCTTTTAATTTATATACTGCAGTTTCAAAGTAGCTCCCTACAAAAACTTATTAGTTGTGAAGGGAAAGAGAATAATTTTATGGTGGAGGAGCCTGACAGACCCCCTTAATCCTGTGATCAAAGTGAACCGTCATGAGTACTGGCCAGACAGAAGTTGTGCATCACCCGATAGGATGTAAGGAGAGGAGCACTCTTCAGTGTCTCTAACACTCCCCGATCCAAAGATGCACAATCTGAATCTAACCAGGAGGAGCATCATTGTTCATCAACTGAGGGACATTCTACAAAACTACTGGCATATAGTTTTCAAAAGTGTCAAGGTCATGAAAATAAAAGAAAGACTGAAGAACCATTCCCGATGAAGTAGACTAAAGAGACTGGACAAATAAATCTAGCACACGATTCTGGTTAGGTCCTTTGCTATTCAGGAAATTATTGGGATGACTGGTAAAATTTGAATGGTGTCTGAGGATTAAGCTGTAACTATATATCAGTGGTTTTTTCCCTAATTTTGATGATTGTATTGTGGTTATGTAGAATAATATGCAAGAGGTGATGGTATATCAGGTTGATAATTGACCTTCAAATAACTAAAAAACAAAAAAACCCCAAATGTTTTTTATATTGTACTTGCAAATTCTGTAAGTTTGAAATTGTTTTAAAGTAAAGACCAATATACAAAAATGTATACTATTTATGGAGAAGGATAATGTGTATTTCTCCTTGTATTTCATATCTAATATAAACCAGAACTCTGTAGATAAGAGAAAAAATGTGAATGAATGGCAATAAATTCAACCCTTGATTATTTCTGATATTGAGTAAAAACACAAATTGCAAAAGGAAACCTACAGTATGATACTGTTTATGTACATTTTAAGGACAAAAAGGAATTTTATATATTGTTTCTATACAAATGACATGTAAAATTATTTTTTTAAATGCCCAAGAATAGTACACATCATTCTTAGGATAGTGGTTTTTCCCAGGGAGGGAAGCAGGAAGAGAGGAAAGGAGAAAAAAAAGATTGGGGAGAGAAGACAACTTGTATTTGTAAGTATTTCAGAGAGAGAGAGAGAGATCTAGAGCAAATACATTAATTTGTTTCCCCATTTGTACCTTCAGTGATACAGCATTTGATCCTCTTTGGCTTTAGGTCAACATCAGCACTCAGGAACTTTGGGAAGAAATGCTCGGTTCCAAAGGATTAACTGGTAATTTAAAATAAAATAATTTTCAGATCCATTCTTTTCAAAATTGTTAAATGATACGTTGAACTATGAAGAGAAGGGCTGCAGTGAGCCTCATTTTCCTACAGCCTTGAGTCTCAGAACAACCAGGTCATTTTCTTTGTGTCTGTATATATTTGGCTTGAACATCAGTAAATTTAGTTCAGGAAATGAGTTGGTATAGTCAGATGACAGGGTTCCTTTGTCATAGAGCTGATTTCTGTACTCAGGCTTGTTTGGTGTTAAGTAACTTACTCCTCTTCTAATTACCTGAGGCATAAAATGAGAATGTATTGGAAAGAATATGGGGATCTCTTGGAAATTAAAGGATGGAAGGAGAGCCAGGCATCAGAAGGGACTGGAACCAGGAACTGCACCATCATTAGGAAGTAGTACGTCCATGGCCATGGGTCTCCTCCTCCCTGTCCCCTTTGTGTCACTTATCTCTTGCTGGATAATAATTTACCCCCAAACTTAGTGGCTTATGACAATAAACATCTATTATCCCACAGATGTAGGCATCCAGGTGCGGCTTAGCTGAGTGCCTTGGGCTGAGGGTGCAGTTAAGGTGTCAGACGGGAGATCTCAAGGCTCACTAGGCGCAGTTTGCTTCCAAGCTCATATATGTATGTGGCTGTTGACAGACCTTAGAAAATCCACTTCTAAGTTCATTTATGTGGCTGTTGGCAGGATTCAAGTCCCCACTTGTTGCTGGCCAGAGACATAAATTTCTTGCCATCAGTTTCTCCATGAGGCTACTCACAGCATGGTAGCTGGCTTCCCCCAGAGCAGGACTCTGCGGGAGAGAGCACAAGATGGAAGTCGTAGTTTTTTGTTAACCTAATTTTGAAAGTGACATCCTACCACTTTTGCCATGTTTCACTCATTAGGAGCTGGTCACTAGGTCCAGCCCATGCTCTGGGCAGAGGATGACACAGGGAATGAAAACCGAGAGGCAGGGATCCCTGGAGCCGTCTTGGAATCTGCGTACCACCCCCACCTCACCCACTAGTCCTTTCTCTTTCTCATTCACTCGACACATCTCTGGGCTCTGTTATTCTCTCTGTGTCTGCTCATTCCTTCTATCCATAAATGTACCTGCTCAGTCTGCTTGTATCTGCTCTTATCCCTCCCGTCGCCAACCTCCTCCCAAATGACTTCAACATTAGGCCCCCCTCCCTCTCTTGTGACTCAAATCTGTCTTTCCAGTGCCCTCGCCCTCTGTTTCCTGAGGTGTGTTCTGAGCTCTAACATGCTTCCTGAAAATGCCACACATTTTCCCCCTTGCCACTTTATCCGTGTTGTTCCTACTACCTGGAATATTATGGCCCCATCATGACCTGAAGAAATCTTCCTCCTTTTCAGGCCCAGTTCAAAAGTAACCTCTGCATGAAATCTTTCCTGAACCTCTGTGTGGTCACTTCGTCCCAGGAGTCCCTAGGGCACTTGTGGTGGGGCTCTGTCTCAACCCCTTCAGCACACACCCAGCTAGGTGTGGTACCTGTCTTTGTCCCACCTCTCCTCACAGAGTGAAGGTGCTACTGTGGCTTTCCTCATGGACTCTAAACACAACAGCATTTGCTTTTTCATCTTGCATCTGTAACAGACTTGCCCAGGCCTGGGGCCTAGTGGGTGCTAAATAAATGCTGGTCACATTGATCTAGTTGTGTGGGCGTGAGTATTGCCACACTCTACTACTCGAGGGATTATAAAGCCTTTCTGATGGTGCCAAGGCTTAACTGTTTTGTTAATATTTCTTGTCTGGACAACTAGAACATGACTCCAGGGGGAAACAAACCATCACTTCTATTTTTTTAACAGCAGTGATGAAACAACCATCCTATAATGTTTTGAGAATTTGCTGTGTGCCCACCACCCTGCTAAGCACCCTGTGTGATTGTGGCGGGCATCTACTGAGCACTGACTCTCTGCTAAGCCTGCTCTAAGTGGTTCAAAGGCCTTTGCTGACTGAAGGCCCCTTCTCATCAGGTCAGGCAGTCTGGAGGAAAATATACACACACGCATATGCTTTTCCCTCTTTCTAGAGCTGGCAGAAATATTCTTCCAATTCAACCGTCCTCTTGGAAGTCTTGCCTTCTGCTGGCTCATTTTCATCTGCCTTCAAACATGCAAAAGTCTATTCAGGTTTACACGCACACACGCGCACACATGCACACACATGCACACACACAGGTTCGTATCATCTGCCATTGCTTCCAGGTGCCTTCTCTGTTTTGCTCCTGTCTTTCAGAGCCAAACTCTTCACACACTTCCTCCCCGGGCCCTCCCATCCCTCATCCCCAGCCCTTCTAACCCTGTGAAGTGTGCCTCTGTCCCCACCACTCTTCTCAGAGACAAAGAGTAGAAGAGGGGAGAAGAAGCTGGTAGAAATGATGGGTGAACTATCAGTACAAATACTGCACAGAGATTTTAAGCTAATTGGGCCCCAGTTTTTTTCCTTAGGGGATTGAACCTGTCCTTCTTGGTGGACCTGTATACAGGGCCCTCTACGTCTTTAGGGACTTTTTCTTGTCTCCACCCAAATTCCTTTCTTGGCCTCCATCCACAAGACTGTAGAGTGTTAAAATTCAAATATCCATTTTGCCTGATGTGGCACCGGTGGCTGCTAAACATTCCTGCTTCTTGGTTCTGTGCAGTTGTTGACGTCTATCAAGGCTGGTGTGGCCCCTGCAAACCTGTGGTGAGCCTCTTCCAGAAGATGAGGATCGAGGTTGGACTGGACTTTCTGCATTTTGCATTAGTAAGATTCTCTCTCAGCAAAAAGTCATACAACACTGCAATAACAATTAAAAATTTTTACATAGTAAAGAATAAGAACTGTGAGCTGCCTTCTTCAAAGCACTGAAAAGGCTTCAACAGTGGATTTTTGTTGATATCTGTCATGATGATTTATAATTTCTCTAGATATGGAGGCTCCTGCTCCCCACCCTCACCTCCTACAGTCACTCTTGGCTCAGACACTTTCCTGATGCTGTATGAAGGGAAGGGACACCTTTCACTCAGGTGCACATGCTCCTTCTTGGCTCATGAATGCTATTGACTGAAATGTCACTTTTAGAGCACAGGGTTTCAAGATTTCCATCCTCTGCTCCATAAAGGGGAACTTTTACCAAACATTTACTTGGATTAATGTATGGGAACGGGAATACATTTCAGAGAAGTGTGCAAGAGACACTGTTGAGATGCTGCATGGGTTTGAGGTTCAGAGAAAATGGAATTTACCTTGATCTCTCAAGAAGTTGGACTTCAAGGATTTTGCAAGGACTTCAAGGAGTCCTCCCTTGGGAGTGAGTTTGGTGCTTCTGTAGAGAGTGTGCTGCAGAAAGGCTTGCATGGGGGATCCGTTATGTCCACGTACAGCGGGTTTATCAGGCAATGATGGCAACCCCTGAGGATGTTTCACCTCTGGTGTTGGCAGTCATGGCTGCAGAAGGATGGTAGATAGCGGAGCTCCCTTGGACCAGTGGAGGAGCTGGGTGGGGAGCAGGAAAAACTTTTGTTTCCTCCTCATTTAATTGTTTACGCTGTCCACAACTTTTACCAAAATGTTAACAGGACAGTTCTGAAAGGAGCAGCATGAGAACAGGTTGGGGTTTCACCGTGAAAGCAGTCATCAGCTGCGTCCAGGATGCAGTCTGCTGACAGCTTGTTTTCTTTAGGCGGAAGCAGATTGTCTTGATGTCCTTGAAAAATATCGAGGGAGGTGTGAGCCAACCTTTCTGTTTTACGCGGTAAGTACATTTTCAGAACCAGAACCATTTCATGGCTGCAAATCATGAGAGTTCAGATGGACGTGTCACTGGCATTAATTCTCTCTGGGAGCCACAAAGAGGTCTCATTGATCCAAACAAGTGATGCTATTTCCTCTGACGCTTCACCTAGACAGTTTTATTATGTGGGGCTACACGCAGACCATCCCTGAGAAGTGGTGATGCAGGCCCCTGACTAGGGTCAGCCCGAGGGCCCTGCTCAGAGGAGGTGAGTGACGCAGCTCCTGGCAGTCACTGTTGATTGGGGCAGCCTCCTGACTGAATGTACATGGGGAAAGAAAATAAGTCACTCAAATGCACGTGCTCCTTCTTGGTTCATGAACAGTCTTGACTGAGGTTTCGCTCTCAGAGCACAGGGTTTCAAGATTTCTATCCTTTGCTCCATAAAGGAGCAAAAATAAATACTCTTTATGGGGTAGAAAAGCTCTGCATTCACTTTTATTTAATCATAAAGTGTGAAGATGTGTTTACAGAAAGTCAGAAATGAGAGGGGCTATTAAGGAAAGTCAAGTGTTTTGAGAAGACAACTTGGATGTCTTCTTGGATGACATCCGTGGCTCAGCTCCATGCCCCTCAGGGCCCACTGCCTCACACCTGGCTTCCTAGGTTTAGGACACCTGCCAGGCCCTGAAGGCAACTGATGGTTCTGCTACTCCTGACCCAGCCCAGCCCCTCATTGTAGAGTCAGGGAAAGTGGCATCTACTCACCCGGGTCGCCTGATGGCCAGGCCAGGGTTGTTCTCCTGGCCTCAACACTGCAAGTATTACTAATTGAAAGCTTATGGTAAAACACTGAGTTTGGCTTTTAGTAGGGAGACCAAAGTTAAATATGAAACATGGTTGGGAGAAAGAGAGGAAGAAGTGGCAGGGAACTCAGAGATGAAGGAACTCCAACACACTTGACATCAGGGCCCAGTTGCAGAAATGGTATTGTTACCACATGATTTGATGCTTGAGCTGTAGTGATTAAAGCATAAATCATAACCGGCTATGTGGGAACACGGGCCATAATCTCTAACCCTACGGTGGTCCACTGAGTGGTGGGATGCAAATGGACGGAGGACCCACCCTATGTGAACTTCTCCGTCTCCAGATTCACTCCCTTGTGAGTAATACACATAGAGACTTTTGAAAAAGTTAAAGCAGAAAACACAGGTTCACCCCAAATACCACCTCCACTGTGAAGTCTTCCCTGACCACCCCAGCCGGTGTTGGGAATTCTTGCCCCAAGTTCCAAGCACCCTATTAAAGCAATTATCTTATTGTATTGTAATTGTTTCTTTGGCATGACCACCTCTCCACTCTACTCCCCAGTCACTGAGGGCAGCGACTATGTCTTTCCGTGTTTAGTGTTTATAATCTTTGCCTATGCCATGGTGCTTGGTATAGTAAGTATGCAATACATATTTGCTGAGTGAATAAGCCATGTATTGTGCACTGTTCTTCCCTTAACTAACTGCTGGTTGCCCTGAAGGAAGCTTTGAGAGGAGGGGCATGGGGTAGAAGGTAGAGATCAGAAGACAAATCATTCTAGAACTGAGAGCAGAAGTGAGAACCTCCTGCCATGGGAGGGGCCCCAGGAGGCAGCAGCAGAGGTGCCTGCCCCACACCAGAAGTGGATGGTGGAGGCTGCAGGCCTGGGGAGGCTGCAGGCCACCTTTACCGTGGCCACAATCCTGAACACGTGAGGTCTCTTTAAAGAGATTAGTATTGGCAAAGAGGATGTCATGTGGTTTGTAATGTATTCTAGGGAGGAGAACTGGTGGCCGTGGTTAGAGGAGCGAATGCCCCACTGCTGCAGAAAACCATCCTAGACCAGCTGGAGGCCGAAAAGAAGGTGCTGGCTGAAGGCAGAGAACGGAAAGTGGTAACTGGAGATCACTTCCACAAGCGGCAAACCCACAAGTGTGCACCAGCGGCAAGGCCAGCAGCATCCCCATGCCCCAATTTTCCTGGAGCTGTCAGTGGAAGGCTTCACAAAAGTCCCAGCTGAGTCTGTTCCTCATGGAAGGCTCAGGAGAGTGCACAGTGCCCACGGTGACATGTGCATTTTGAAGCCTTTTAAAACTGGTCTCCTTCATCCAGAGCCCTATATTTAAGTTCTTTTATCCATATCCCTTTCCACACTCCAAATCCTAATAGACAATGAATTCAGAAATGAAAATAAAGTCATGGAATCCAGTAGTGGGTGAGAGTCAGCTATCCAGGCTCCCCACAGCCTCAGGATGAAATCTCTTCTAGTGACCCACCCCATCACATTCCTGCAGGTTTTACTTGTGATTCCATAGGGTTCATTTCCTTAATTTAGAAATTAATCCTTTTGTGGGCCGGCCTGTGGCTCACTCGGTAGAGTGCGGTGCTGATAACACCAAGGCCACGGGTTCGGATCCCATATAGGGATGGCCGGTTTGCTCACTGGGTGAGCGTCGTGCTGACAACACCAAGTCAAGGGTTAAGATCCCCTTACTGGTCATCTTTTTAAAAAATAAAAAATAAAAAAATTAATCCTTTTGTTACTATGAGAAATAGGATCAGCATAGCTTGTGATTTTTTTTTTTTCCTGACTGGTAAGGGGATTGCAACCCTTGGCACAGTGTGGGCTGTACCACGCGCACGTACGCTCAGCCAGTGAGCGCACCAGCCATCTGTATATAGGATCCGAACCTGCGGCCTCGGCGCTACCAGTGCTGCACTCTCCCGAGTGAGCCGCGGGGCTGGCCCTATAGCTTATGATTTTGATAAGTTATTTCTGTGATAACATAGACTGCAAGTTGGTCACAAGTGACTGGCTGCCTTTGAAAACTGACACACCGTAGGTAGGGAAAAATATTTCCTGGTGCTCTGGGTTTCTGCCAAGTGCACCTTAGCACTGTTCAGTGTTCGTTGTTCAAGTCTTCATGTTCCATTCCAAATAGCAGAGCTCTATTTTTATAGAATGGATTAGAATCAAATCATATTTTTTGCCCCCCCCCCCAAACTGGCCATTTTCCCCCAGAAAAGAAAATTGCAAATGCTTACATTTTCATGTGACTCCTCCAGGGGAAAATGATCTGTCTCTTTACTACTTCTCTGCACTGTATAACCAATCGCTTAATATTTACTTGCATGTCCATTCTTTCTTTGTCTTCTTGTTGACTCTGTTTCTTCTTTATTTTTCCTTAGTCTTTACATAATGCTTGTGAAAACAGGCAGAATCTAAAACTTAAGATCAGCATGGATTTATTTGCTTATCTTCTCTCTCCACCCCCACCATCACCCAACTACTGAAAAGGATCTTGTAAAGTTTACAGGACTCTGATCATCTTGACTGTTTCTTAAATCTGTATTTTGGACCCTTACTTTCTTGGTTTCTGCAGGTTTTTGAAGATGTTAGTGGTAATTTTAATTAGCTAACTACTTTGTGTTCATGCCCAATGTGTACTAGATTAAAGACAAGGCTCTGTCTGATGAAGATGAATGTTTTCCCCACATAAAGGACGATGGTGAAGATGAGAACATGGGTGAGTGCAGAACCAATGAGCAAAGCAAAAAGGCAGAGCAGACCAGGCTTGATGTGTGCTCTAAATACATGAGTCATCAGCTTGTCGATCAATCTGAACTCTGGGAAGATAAACCATAAAATGTTTTGTCTCTTATCACCTGGTTTCAAACAAACTGTGTCAAATCTCCTTTCTGCCCTTTAATAGCATCTTGGGCACAGCTTTCTGATCATGTTCGAATATAATGTGTGACTTTCATGGCAATTACCAGGCATAAGGAAAAGCTCCATTTAATAAAATGGAGGGTAGTGACACGAATAATTTAAAGTAATGGTGCTGGTATTTCTTTAGTCCTTATTTGAGCTAAAAAGGTCAAGTTTCTTCTTTCACCTTTTTCTGAAACATCAGAAAAGCTTCCTTCTACCGAGTCCTACACCATCTTTCCCTTATTCCCCAAGCATCAACTCAAGAATTTTACACTCCTGGCATCGTGGCTCTTCCTGACCTTTTACGTGAGAAGCATGGCCTGGCCTGGCCATGTGAGGGAAGCCGCAGCTACACAGGCCGTGCGGGGAAGCGTCTCTTGGTGGTAACTGAGACACCGGGGGAAACCAGGATTAAGTTCAGGAACTGAGTTGACAAGAGAAGTAAGATGATGATGATGATGATGATGATGTTGATTACTGCATGAAGTAGAAAGGCTTGTTTTCTCGTGTGCGGATGATAAGGACCGTCTGAGTTGGATTCCAGCAAGGAAGGAGGCAAGGTTTAGGAGAGCAAGGAGACGTCAAGTATGAAAAGAAAATCAGAGATTTGGCTTCTGCAGGAAACATCTGTTGCCTCCTGTTACGCATGATGTCCTCTCTCTTCCCTCTTCCATGATTTCCTCCCAAATCAAGTCTTTCCACCTAGAAAACCACAAACAATCCTGCGCTTGCCCTTAGCCTTCCTCTCCTTCACAACCAAGCTTCCTGGACATTGTCCACACTCTGGGCCACCCTCACCTTCCACTCCTGCCCAACCTGCTGCCTCCTGGCCTCTGTAGAGCCCACTGCTCCCTGGAACCATGGCACCAGTGGCCTTATTGGTGCCAAATCCAGCAGGTAGTTTCCAGTCCATATCCTATGGGATCTTTCTGCAGAATCATGATGTTCACAATGTCTTCCTTCTCAAAATCTTCTTCTCCTCTGGTTTCTGAGATGTCAGGACCTTTCTCGTTTCTTGTCTATGCCCCTGGCTCTCCTTAGTCTCTCCTTCACTGGCTTCTCTTCTCGTGCTCCCCTTTCAAGCTGGAGCTCTCCAGGCCCCTGCTTTGGTCTCTTCTCTTCTCACTTTATACTTCTAGGTGATCTCGTTAATTGGTCATTTTATAATGGAATTTACTGTAAGTCTCTTCAAGTCTAAGTGTCCATAGCATGTTAGAAATGGTAATCACAGAAAAGTTAACAGACCTGTTGTTTAAAATGATTTACACCTTTGCAGTACACATGGTTTTGAGATTTTCAGAGTAGAAAACCCTCCTTCGGTGCAGATATTGTCCTGTTTCACACAACTGATGTAAAGGGTGAGAAGCCGAAAATAGGTGGTGGGGGAATACTGATTCTTTGGAGAGTGTAGGAAACTGACCAAGGCCAAGTCCATATAAGCAGGAGTACAGTAGAGATGGACTTGTGGACTAGACACAGACCTCCTGCAGCTTCTGCGGGCTGAGGCAGTGGATTCTGATCCCTGACCCTCCCTCATTGCCACAGCTGACTGGACTGGACGCTGACCCAAGGGCAGCTAGTCAGTGGGCTGGCCAGTGAGGTATGACTGGTGCCTTGGCTCAAAACAATTAGCTGGCCAGTCTGGCTTCCTCTCTGGAGAATCTGAAATGCGACAGAGAGGACTAAAGCCTTCATTTGGTAGTACGTATTGGAGGTGAAGAATCAAGAAAAGTCACATAGACCCAGGGCCTGGGGCAGCCATTCTTGGCCACATGGCAGGAAAAGTAAAAAGCAGCAAAGGCAAAGGAGCCACTAGAGAGAGAGAACACGGCAGACAGTGGTTAGAAGCCAAGAATCATGAGGGTAATAAGGATGAGGGTGGCTGGGCCCGTGTTGCCGCCTCTCCAGTGCTCCATCCCCTATCCCCACCCCATCCCCAGGCCGACTCATTCACTTGTTTCTGGGTTTCTGCTCCTGATCAGTCTTTGAGCACTCCCCTCCTCCAGGTACCTCCTCCTCCCCGCCTAGGTTCTTTGAGCCACTCTGTCTCTCACAGCCAGGTTGAGGTTGAGTCTGGAGCCAGATTGGTATATCCACTAGAGTCCAGGTCTGCAGGAGCACAGCTAAGAGGCCAGGGGAGGGAACCCCAGGAGCCCAAGCCTGTGCCTGGCACATGGTGCAATGGAGCCTTGGGTAGAGGCTCCCTGGGTTGGCCTTCTGAGGGCCTCACATGCCAGTGTCTGACAGCACCAGCCTTTGGCTTATTTCAGTGTCATCAGAGAAGACCTGTACCTTGGCAATCATTAAACCAGATGCAGTGGCCCACGGAAAGACTGATGAGATTATTATGAAGGTAAGAGAGACAACACTTACCCTGCATGGCTGTCCTCATGTCCTCTCTGGTGGATAATCAGGGATAGGGCATCAGATAGCAGTGTTCTAGTGGGGAAAGAAGGCTTCTAAGGAGGTGTAAATCAAACTCCATTTAAGTAAATGAAAATGTTAAATCTGATTGGGACAAATACTGTGGGGATGAGGGTCTCCACAGCTTTTAATGTTGCCTATCTTTATTTTTTTACCTTTCAACTAACTCAAGTGTGAATTTGGCTTGACTTACCCTTTCAGAATGTATATGTATCTTTTACAGATCCAGGAAGCTGGGTTTGACATTTTAACAAATGAAGAGAGAACCATGACCGAGGCAGAAATGCGACTTTTCTACCAACACAAAGCTGGAGAGGTGAGCTCACCTGCCACCATCCGTTCAACACACTCATTTCTTTCTCTTCCTCAAACATTGTGTTTATAGATTCATATTAGCTTGAGAGAACATTGAATATTATGAAGAACAAGAATATGAACAGCAAGTAGGTCATAAATTTGCACTCGGAATATTGATCATAGGCTGTATCAGGTAAAGTTCTTTGGTTGCAAGGAAACGATTTTGACTCTAAGTAATGAAATAAAGAATTTATTAGATAAATACTCCATAACTCACAGAATTGAAGAAAGAGAATTGAAGGAAGAGTTTAACAAGAAGGGCTTAGGGAGAAAAGGAACCCAAACAGTCTGGGGATCTCAGAAGCAAAGCCTCGTGCATATTACCTTAGACCCTGCCGTGGGATAACTCAGATCCAGCCACTGTCCATTTGTTTCTGCTTATGACTCACCTACTTGGGAGTCTGGTTGAGCTAGCCTGGGTCATAGTCCCATTTCTCAAGTAAGGTAGGTGTGTGTGTGTGTGTGTGTGTGTGTGTGTGTGTGTGTTGGGGGTTGGGCATCATGGTTGTCAGTCAAACTAGGACCACATGAAGTGGGGAAGGCTAAGGAAAACCAGAGTATTACTTGAAGGAAGAAGGGTCACAAGGCATTGCAAAAAAGATTTAAAAAAATCTCAACGATATTCCACCCCTTGGTTATCCAGCATCCACATGATTTCCATATATAGGGTCTTTTATATGCCTTTACCTAAATTATAATCATCTCATGTTCAACTCGAAACAAGTCAATTTAAGGTCTCATCTTTCTGGTTCTTTGGGTGAGGCTGGTCATTACCACAGCAGGCAGAGGTGGCCAGGCAGGGGAGGGACAGTGGCTGAGCATCCACAGGCATGCTAACTACTCACAGATCCCCTCCCAGCCTGTGGATGGGATGGGATCGCTGACCCTCAGCAGACCCCTGCAGCTCCTGCCTGGGATCACTGTTTTCCCTCCATGTGCCTAGGAGGCATTTGAGAAGCTGGTACATTACATGTGCAGTGGACCCAGCCACCTCCTGATCCTCACCAGTACTGAGGGCACCGAGGACGCAGTCACTGCCTGGCAGACCCTCATGGGGCCCTGTGACCCCAATGTGGCCAGGATGGAGCAGCCTGAAAGGTGAGGTCAGCAGCAGTGGTTCTTTCATCCATCTCAAAACCTGCATCCCAGGGCCGACCCCGTGGCACACTCAGGAGAGTGCGGTGCTGGGAGTGCAGCGAAGCTCCCGCCGCGGGTTCGGATCCTATATAGGAATGGCCGGTGCGCTCACTGGCTGAGCGCAGTGTGGGCGACACCACACCAAGGATTGCGATCCCCTTACCGGTCACGAAAAAGACAAACAAAACAAAACAAAACAAACAAAAAACCCCCTGCATCCCAGAAAGCTGAGAGCCTCACTGGGTGTTCAGCCCAGAACTGTGGGTAACACAGAAGGCTCTTTCATGGCCAAGAGGCCCCCTTTCTATTATATATTTGGGGAGACCTGCCATCCTTCCCTCTGATCCACGCCTGGCCTTTGCTGACTGCCTCCTGGAGCTGTTTGCCAACTCCTCCCCTCCCCACCTTCTTCTGAAGGCTGCTGCTGAGCTTGGTCCTCAGTCACTGTTCTTCTCTCTCCAAGAGAGAGGAGAACACATTCCAGGGCCCTGTTTCAAGCCTGTCAAGTCAGAGACTCTGGGGCGGGGGCTGATAATCTGCATTGTAGACTCAACCCCTCCACCTGGACTCTGGAGTCTGAGCACCCTGTTCTGCACATTGCACCAGGCTGGCTTGGCCCTGCATTTAGCCTGGCACCACCAATGCCAAATCCAGTGTCTTGGCCTCTGTAGCTGAGAGACCCAGCCAACAGGAAAGAAATTAGTGAGAGGCCAAAGAGCTGTACTTTGTAGATATAGGGGCCTGAGGACATTCATTTATGAGGTAGCCGGGGCTACTGAAAGACAGTCCAGGGTTCAGATCTTAGGTCACCACATACTTTGGCAAGTCCCTTCTCAGCCTCAGTTCTCTCATCTGTAAAATGGGGATATGAGCACCCATCAGAAGATATATATATATATATATAGAGAGAGAGAGAGAGAGAGAGAGAGAGAGAGAGAGAGAGAGAGAGAGAA